TTCCTTGAATTTTTGGAAGCACTATTGGGAAAATTTGTTAGGATTTTGTATTCTTTTTAAAAAAATTTCAGTAGATTTAGGGGACAAGTATTTTTTGTTACACAGATGAATTGTATAATGCTGAAGTTGCAGCTTTTAGTGTACCCATCACCAGAATAGTGTACATGATATCTGATAGGTAGATTTTTATCCTTCATTCCACTCTTATCCCCTCCTTTCTTAGTTTTCAATGTCCATTACACCATTTTATGACCATATATACCCCTCATTTAGCTCCCACTTATTAGTGACAACATGTGGTATTTGTTTTTCCATTACTGAGTTACTTCACTTAGAATAATGGTCTCTAGTTCAAGTTGTTGCAAAAGATATTATTTCTTTCTTTTTTATGGTTGAGTAGTACTCCATGGGATGGGAGAGTGTGTGTGTGTGTGTGTGTGTGTGTGTGTGTACCATATTTTCTTTATCCACTCATTAGTTGATGGGCACTTAGGTTGATTCCATATCTTTGCCATTGTGAATTACGCTGCAATAAACATTTGGGTGCAGGTGTCTTTTTTTTTATAAAATTACTTCTTTCCCTTTGGGTAGATACCCAGTAGTGGGATTGCTGGATGGAATGGTAGGTCCACTTTTAGCTCTCTGAGGAATCTCCATACTGTTTTTGATAGAGGCTGTACTAGTTTACATTCCCACGAACAGTGTATAAGCATTTCCTTTTCACTGTCTCGCATCAACATCTATTGTTTTTTGACTTTTTAATAGTGGCCATTCTGACGGGTAAGGTGGTATCTCATTGTGGTTTTAATTTGTAATTTCCCTGATGGTTAGTGATGTTGAGCATATTTTCATGTTCATTGGCCATTTATTTATCTTTTTTGGAAAAATATGTTCATATCTTTCACCCATTTTTTGAGGTGATTATTTGTTACTTTTTCATGCTGATTTATTTGAGTTCTTTATAGATTCTGGATATTACTCCTTTGTCAGATGTGTAGTTTGTGAATATTTTCTCTTCTGTAGGTTGTCTGTTGATTTTTTTCTTTGCTATGCAGAAACTTTTTAGTTTAATTAATACCCAACTATTTATTTTTGTTGTTGCTGTATTTACTTTTGGGGAACTTAGTCAGAAATTTTTGTTCAGAAGAGTTTTTACTACATTTTATTCTAGAATTTTTATGGTTTCAGGTCTTACATTTGAGTCTTTAATTCATCTTGAGTTAATTTTTGTATATAGTGAGAGATAGGGATCAAGTTTCATTCTTCTGCATGTGGCTGCCCAGTTTTCCCATCACCATTTATTGAATGGGGTATCCTTTCCCCGGTGTATGTTTTTGTCTGTTTTGTTAAAAATCAGCTGGTTGTAGCTATTATCTTTTTGGGAAGATTTTTTTACCTGATAATTAAGTTTCCTTAAATGCTATGGGACTTTGGATTTTCTATTTCACCTTGAATCAGTCTTGATAAATTATATTTTTCTGAGAGTTATCCATTTCTAAATTTAAGTTTATTGACATGAAATGGTTCATAGTATCCTCTTAATTTTTTTATCAGCAGCATTTTTGGATTATGCCTTTTTTTGTTATGCTTTCTTACTTCTTTTATTTTCTTAATCTATCTTACCAGAAGTTTGTAAGTGCTGTGATTCTTTGGAAAAATCTGAGCTGGTGTTTCTGTTGTGTGTGAGTTTTTTCTGTTTTGTTAATTATTGATCTTACCTTTATTATTACTTTTCCTCTATTTTCTTTGGATTAATTTCTTCCTCAGTGCTCTGATCCATTTAACAATATTAAACTGCCCTATCCTTGTAGCTTTCTTTCCCCTGGGTCTTGCAACACATTAGTCTGGAGGGTTTTTCCCTATTTTTCCAAATGTTCCTACTGTTTCTCTTGTCTTTACATCTCCTAATGTAGGTGCTCCCTTGTCTTCAACCTGCTTTTCTCTACATCCATTCTTAATTAATAGGCATTTTGCTCTCCTAATTTCAACTGTCACTTTTCTGTGAGTTAGTAGACAGAATCAAGGGACCCAGTCCTTGTAACTTGGCTCTTCACTAACTATCTATGACATCTTGAACAATTCACTTAAGATTCCTTGGAGCTTTGGATACAAGATCCTCATCTTTGGTTTAGCTCAGTGATACTACTATTCCAGTGACAACCTTATGCAACCTTTAGCTCTAGCCTCTGTTCTAAATGCTTTGTGAACCACTTTTTGTTTTTAAGATATTTTGTCAGGATTTCTCAAACTGTGTATCTTATATTAATCTTTTTACTTGATTCACCTGCCCCAATGTGTTAATTCCCTCTGTTCCTTATTTTGGTGCATCTGTTCTCTCAGGCACTAAAATCAAATTTTATTTGCTTTTGGCTCCCAATATCTCTGTCTCCTAATACCCATCTCATACTTAATTCTAATTGGGGTAGATGTGTGTATCCGTTCTCCTCTCCTTTCTTTTTAGCCCAGTTTAAGTCTTTTATATTTTACAAGAATAATTTCTGTGTAATGCCTACTAACTTCTACCCTTCATCTTCTAATGGAGCCTCAATCACCTTATTAAAAGAAGTTAGCTGTCTTTGCATCTTAAATCTCTTTGTGTTTTTGTCTAAGAGTGTTCTTTTTTACGTTACTGTTGTTGAATACTGTTTTATATTCTTTTACAAGATGGTTAGTCAGGTGGAAACACAAGAGGCAACACAGAGAACCTTATGAAAACAAAGTTTGTTATACTCACAAGTCCTAGAAATAGGAGGCATGCCACACAGGGCCACATGGGGAAGATACCACGGTGGTCAGGAGGCAGAAGATAAGAGGGAAGAGAGAGTATAGGCCACTCTCTTTATTGGGGTTTCTGTGGGAAAGGCAAGGAAGGGCAAGGTAAACAATTTAGGATTGGCTAGTTTGAGTAATTTTGGAGGGCTTTGGGCTTTCAGGGTGGTCTCTAGTTGCCTGGTACCTGGCATTGGGATGATTAAGGCAGAAGAACATTGCATCCAAAGTCTGATTGAAGAGGTATGGCTCTGGATTAGTTAATTGCATGTTAAAGACATACTCCTGGCTGGGGCCCTTGCTATCTCTAAGAATGGAGTAGGCCTGGAAGGGGCAGTCTCTCCCCAGCCAGAAAGATTTTGTAAGATGTCAAAATGTAAAAAATTTAAAAGTATTTACAGTACAAACACCATACCTTCGTTACATGGGTAATGATTTCCTGCAACTAATGACAAAATACACAATGTTAAAATAGTGAAACTTCTATGTGTGGTTTATGGGAGTGATTTTAAATTTAATTTATTTAAATTTTACTTTCATGCTAGTTTCAAATTACTTGGCACACACGCATGCACTCTTTTAATTTTATTAATTGTATATGTCTAGGTAGTTGTATAGTTTGCTGTTTGTAGAAGACTTTAGGAAAAAATATAAAAAACAATCTCTATGAGTTTTTATTTATTTATTTATTTTTTATTTCAGCATATTATAGGGGTACAAATGTTAAGGTTACATATATTGCCCATGCCTCCCCCATAAGTTTTTAAGGAAGTGAAATATTTATACGTCTTTTGTAATTGTCTCAAGGAAACAAATAGACCTTTTGGGTCATGTGATATACCAAATTATTCTCACTTAAATGATATATTTGCCAGAAATTAGGATATATAATAGCAGAAGTTAGCACTGTCTTAGAAATACTGCTTTAAGATTCTAACTTATACTCTCCTAACTGGTCTGCTCTTGATGTGTGCACACATAGGTGTAAGGATAGGGTGCTCAAGTGGTAGGAAACAGAAGTGTGGGACCATATCCATGGGTCTAAGATGATTCTTACATGTTGCTGTGGTCAGTCATATTTTATTCAGTACAAAGTATTCTGGCTTTTCCTAAATAATAACTGGATGTAGTAATTCAGAAACAATGTATTATATCCCTTAGAAAATATTTCTGGGTATTAGGGTGGCATATCATTGTATAAATTAATTGTATTCCAACATCAAATCCCAGCATAAGTGGTAAAAAAGCACTGGCACAACATTTAAAAAATACAGGCCGGGCGCTGTGGCTCACGCCTGTAATCCTAGCTCTTGGGAGGCCGAGGCGGGCGGATTGCTCAAGGTCGGGAGTTCAAAACCAGCCTGAGCAAGAGCAAGACCCCGTCTCTACTATAAACAGAAAGAAATTAATTGGCCAACTGATATATATATAAAAAAAAAATTAGCCGGGCATGGTGGCACATGCCTGTAGTCCCAGCTACTCGGGAGGCTGAGGCAGAAGGATCGCTTGAGCCCAGGAGTTTGAGGTTGCTGTGAGCTAGGCTGACGCCACGGCACTCACTCTAGCCTGGACAACAAAGTGAGACTCTGTCTCAAAAAAAAAAAAATACATAGCAGAGCCCTTGCTAATGAGATGTGTGCAACAGTGTATACTTTGGGATTAAAGAAATTAGTACAACTGTTTTGTTTTCCGTATGCTTTGTAAAGGGTTACTTTTGCTATCAGGTTATTATTTATTAAAACATTTAAGTTAATAGTAATTCCTTCTTGTTCTTGGCAAAGTCACTAGTCAATTTCCTCTGTGTTGGAGCTAAATATCGAGTAGTGTGAGAATTTAGAAGAGAGCCGAGGCATCTCTTTGGAACTCTCTCTCTACCATTCTTTACAAGAGTGGTAGTGATCTCTTTGGTAAAGCCATCTTAAGTTTTCTGACAATCTCTACCACAGTTGCTCCAGTCACTGTGTTCACATCTGAATTCTCTCACATCTTTGATTGTAATTTATTATGTTTTGTTTCTGTTTCTTAAGATTTGTCAGTGTTCATGTATTCCTCCTGCAGTCCTGCTTTTAGAAACCATTTTACTATATTTCCTTAGTTTGAATTTCTTCTCTTCCTAGGAAGTTTACTTAGCAAAGTACTGATATGCTGATACAAAATAGGTGTCTTGTGAATGTTGGTAACGTTTGACTTTCTTTCTTTTAATAGTTATAATTATTTTGCTTGCTTTCTAGGCACACAAACCAATGGCCTGGACTTTCAGAAGCAGCCTGTGCCTGTCGGAGGAGCAATCTCAACAGCCCAGGCCCAAGCTTTCCTTGGACATCTCCATCAGGTAAAATGTTTTGCTTAACCATAAGTGAGAGTAAAACATGGAGGCATAAAATGCTAGGACCTGGAGAAGTTATTTCAGAATGCGGGACTTTTAAAATTATTTAAAGGCTAGTGTTAATCACATCTAATTGTATCATTCCAAATGGTTAGTGTGGATTCCTATAGTTCAGTTGACTATATAGCATTGACCACCACAGCTGTGTGGAGAAAAGAATTCCTTGTTAGAAATGGAATGTGTATAACAACTGAGTTACTGTTTTTATCAGCGTAAGTCTGTGGTGGCTAACTGAAGGTAGTAATTATCAGAGTCATCCAAATTGATGGAGCCACCATTGCCTGAAACCTGCAGTGTTAAGACTCTGACCTCAAAGCTGTTATCTCTCCTTTAAAACAGTTCCAGACCATTTTAATTTTTATCAACTACTGAGCCTTTTGCTTGACTGCGAGAACCCCCTTTTGTTTGGGGTTCGAAAAGGTCTGCTTCAACTCTATTACCCTAATATGACATGATTTTTTTTCCTGAGTCTAAAACACACAAGGGATTCTATTCGTCCATGTTTTAACTATAATGTAGAGAAGGGGAAAGGGAATAAAAAAACAAACATTGGCTACCCAGTAGTTTTACTATATGGGAGCTGGTTGAAAATGGAAAACAAACAGTGAAAACAGTTGGGAAATGGATTATCAGAGTGTCTCAACCTCTTGGATTATGTTTACAATTATGTATTAGAGCAATACTTTGCACATCTTGGTAGTCTCTACCTCAGTTAAAACCTAGAACTAATTCAACACTTAAAACATGTTGGTAGTAGCAATGCTAGCAGTGGTGCATAAGGGTAGTAGTGGTGGTGGTGGTGGTGGTGGTGGTGGTGGTGGTGGTGATTCAGTGAAAAATCCATGTGAACATAAAAACTTTCAGGTTACATATTAACCTATTAAGTTATCGGGAACTGAAATATAGATCTTACTGGCTCAAGTCTTTTCATCAAAATATGTCATCAGTGTACCTGAACTATAAAAGAAGCTCCTTTACTTGAAAACAGGTGAAATTCTAGAAAGGTATTTTACAGCTCTGTTTGTTCATAAACTCAAATGAATATCTTGTAGACAGCAATTAGCATCTTCTGTTATGAGTGAAGCCTAGCTGACACTTTTGCTCAGGCACATAGTTTTGTTTATATCTTTGAAATAGAGAAACCTCTCCATACAACTTCTAGATAAAATATTAAGATTAATTAATATCTAAAATGAATTTAAGAATATATTCTAAATATATTTTAGAAAAACAAAAATGTTTTCTTATTGATTTTCTTCTAAGAACATAGTCAAGCCTCCAACAAGGTTTCCAGTTTCCTAAGAGGAATAGGATTTTTGATGAAGTTTAGTCAATTATGTGGCACCTTTATGTAAGCATCTTTATCTGGCTTAAATATGTGGTGGTCCACATGTATAAAAAAAATTCCTGGAGATGCATAGATGATGCAGTCTTCTCCCCATTAGGTCTAAATTCCAAGATGATTGCAACTCTTGCACCAGTTCCAAGGCTTCCAGATCTAGCCACTGATTACCAAAATCATAGATCCTTCAGTACCACCCAAACCAAAGGACTTCAAACCAAAGAATTTCATTTGAAACTTTGACAATATTGAATTCCCTATCAAAGCACAACTCCCTGCATACTTGTTCACCATCAGATTAGATACATAATTAACATACAGTGTGACACTTACCTGCCATCAAGGTTAGCACTCTGAACCTACCCTTACCATAATTACAATATACATATACAAAATCAGTTACTTTAGATCTGTTACCACATTAAGATCTGTTACCATATTTAGATCTGAAACTACATAAGTTTCATGAAGATGGGAACCTTTTCTTGCTTACCTGTGTCCCCAGCATTTACCAAAGAGCCCCAGATATAAGTGTTCAGTAATAATAGATTAATGAATTGTAAAGTGTATGGGAATACACAGGAAGAAATGATTAGCTCAACCTGTACAATTTAAGACATACAGATGAAGATTTTTGAGCTGAGTCTTGAAAGATATTGGAAACTAGCTAAATAGAGTGGCAAAGGGATACTCTCATTTTTTTTATTTCTAACTTTCTACTCTGAAAACTTTGAAATCTACAAAAGAGTTACAACAATAGGACAGTGTTCATCTGAAAGCCCTTCACTTGGAGTCAAAAATTATTACTAGTTTACTATATTTGCTTTATCTCTGTGTATGTGTTTATGAATGGTGTATGTGTATACATACAAAATTTTTGTTTTGCTAAATTAAGAGTGTCACATACCTTATAACCATTTACTTCTAAATAGTTCAGCATGTTTTTCCTAAAAATAACATTTTCATATAAAACTACAGTACCAACTTCACATTCTAGAAATCCAGCCTTGATACAATATTATTTTGTAATGTACGATCCATACTTAAATATTTCCTGTCCACAATCTGATCCATACTTTGCATTTAGTTGTCATGTCTGTTTAGTCTTTTTTTTTTTTGGAGACAGAGTCTTGCTTTGTTGCCCAGGCTAGAGTGAGTGCCATGGTGTCAGCCTAGCTCACAGCAACCTCAAACTCCTGGCCTCAAGCAGTCCTGCTGCCTCAGCCTCCCAAGTAGCTGGGACTACAGGCGTGTACCACCATGCCCAGCTAATTTTTTTCTATATATATTAGTTGGCCAATTAATTTCTTTCTATTTATAGTAGAGATGGGGTCTCGCTCTTGTTCAGGCTGGTTTCAAACTCCTGACCTCTACCAATCCACCCACCTCAGCCTCCCAGGGTACTAGGATTATAGGCGTGAGCCACCGCACCCCGCCTGTTTAGTCTTCTTTAATCTAGAACTATTTCTCAGCCTCTTTGTCTTTCATGATATTGATGCTTTTGAAGCATAGAAGCCAGTGGTTTTATAGAATGCCTGTCATTTTGGGTTGGATTGTTGCCTCATGATTGGATTCAAGTTATGTGTTGTTGAAAGAAATACAGCAGAAGTGATGTTAAGTCCCTCTCAGTGGATTATATCACAAGACATAGGATATTGCCTTGTCCCATTATGTGATATTAAGTTTGACCATTTGATTAAGGTAATGTTCATCAGATTTGTCCATTATAAAGATATCTTTTTTCCTCCTTGTAATTAATAGTCTGTGAGGCACTACTTTAAAGACTATGCAAATACACTGTTCTTCAACCATGGTTTTATCCAGGAACATAATCGTTTAAATTAAGTCACATAAAAACTTTATCTCCTTCAAATCTTTGTACCTGAAACTCGATTTCTTTCGGCTCTTTGGCAAATGACTTCTTAGCCCTTAGGTCTTACCCCTTCCGATAGGCCTGTCTTGGTTACACCATATCTAAAATGTGTTCTTCATTAATGTCTGAGTTTTGTTTTTTGTTTGTTTTTGAAGGTTATCTGCTGGCAGGATTATCCTTCTTCCCTCCCCTCCCCTCCCCTCCCCTCCCCTCCCTCCACTCCTTTTCTCTTTTCTTTCTTTTCTTCTCACTCTGTTGATGTAGCTAGAGTGCAGCAGTGTCATCGTAGCTCATCATAGCTCGCTGCCACCTCAAACTCCTGGGCTCAAGCCTCCCGAGTAGCTGGGACCACAGGTGTGCACCACCATACCTGGCTAATTTTTTCCAGTTTTAATAGAGACGGGGTCTCACTCTTGCTCAGGCTGGTCTCTGAACTCCTAACCTCAAGCAGTCTTCCTGCCTCAGCCTCCCAGAGTGCTAGGCGTGAGCCACCACACCAAGCCCCAACACTTATATTTAAATGCAGGACATCTTGATGCTATGCGATATATCTAAAATGGAACTTCTTCTCTTCTCTCTCCCTGTTAATGACACTACCATTTTCTGGTCTTCCAGATTTTGAATCCTAGACTAATTCATGACTCTTTCTTCATCTATATCTAATCAGTTGCCAGGATCCTTAGGTAGTAACTTGTAACGCCTTTCATATTTCCTACTTTTTATTCCCACTGCCACCATTCTAGTTTAGGCTTCTGTTTATTCTAGCATAGTTTATGTTCTCTTTCTCCCTTCTGAGTCTTTCCTTGTTTTCAGGACATTGACCTTTTTAAAGAATATATACCAGTTATTTTGTAGTGTTTTTTAATTTGAGTTTGATGCTCAATCATAATTGGATTCAAGTTCTAACAACATAAGCAATGCGATTATCTATTCATCTCAGTGCATTATACCAGAAGGTGTATGTCTCATTCCTGGACACTCTGTCTTGGTCATTTTATCACTTGTCTGCCAGATTTCTCCACTATAAAATTGCTATTTTGCCCTTTAATTAATAAGTATCTGTGGAGAGAGAGATGAGACTATGTAAATATCCTGTTATTCCTCAAATTTCACCCGCCATCCATTGATGACTCTTGCTTGAATAAGTTATTATCATAGTTGCCAAATGATGGTTTTCTAATTCCGTGTATATCTTTATTTTAACATAACCATAATTTGAACTTTCTGAATGTATGAAATATGAGTACTGAATATTATGACAAACTTTCATGTGTGATTTATACCAGCGGTTTCCAACCTTTTGGGCACCAGGTACCAGTTTCATGGAAAACAATTTTTCCACAGATGGTGGGGGATGATTTTGGGATGATTCAAGCTCCTTACATTTATTGTGCAGTCAAACCTCCCTGCTAATGATAATCTGTGTTTGCAGCTGCTCCCAGTGCTAGCATTACCACCTCAGCTCCACCTCAGATCATCAGGCGTTAGATTCTCATAAGGAGGGCACAACCGAGATCCCTCGCATGCGCAGTTTATGGTAGGGTTCATGCTCCTTTGAAAATCTGCTGTAGCTGATCAGACAGGAGGTGGAGCTTATGTGGTAATGGGAGCAATGGAGGGAGAGGCTGTAAATACAGATAAAGCTTCGCCTGCTCACCTGCAGCTCACCTCCTGCTGTGTGCCCTGGTTCCTTACTAGCCACAGACCTATACCAGGTCCAGGGCCTGGGGATTGGGGACCACAGGTTTATATTAGGGGTCCCCAACCTATAGTGAGTTGTATAATTATTTCATTATATATTATAACAATAATAATAATAGAAATAAAGTGCATAGTAAATGTAATGCACTTGAATCATCCCAAAACCAACTCCCCCGCTGGCCCTGGTCCATGGAAAAAGTGTCTTCCATGAAAACAGTCCCTGGTGCCAAAAAGGTTGGGCATGGCTGGTTTATATGACAGATTCTTTATTTTAGCTAGGAGTTTTAAGTTACAACTATCAGTGTTTTAAGGACTTGGCTGTAGGTATGTATATATGTAAGATTTCCACTCTAGTATATAAATAGAAATTCTGAAATTAGAATGAGTAGATAGTTCTAGATTGTTTATAATGATAAAAATAATGTATGTAGGTACCTTGTTCTTACATGTTAACACAGTGTGGAAGATGAATTAAATTTTTCGAATTTAAGCATCCTGTGAGTATAAACAGAATGTTATAAAAGGAACATCCCATAAAAGTGGCATGCCTGATAATGCTTATTTAGTATGGGAAAACATCTTCAGAAAAGATAACATCATTTTCCACTGGGGTCAGCAGGGGATGGGGATGGGTTTTGGAGGAACGAAGCTTGTCCATAGGGTTTTAAGCCCCTAAGCAAACTCCTTGTATTCTCAGTTCTAGCTCAGTGACATACACTTAGTAGAGACTCTTGAAATATTTGTTGGTGACAACCTCTAGTGATGAATGTCAACAATATTAGACTAGAACTTCCCCTGATTACTTTACTTATAGGTCCAGCTCGCTGGAACAAGTTTACAGGCCGCTGCTCAGTCTTTAAATGTACAGGTAAGTTGGGACATGGGATTATGGGGGAATTTTCTCTTTATTTTTTCCATGCTTTTCTGTTGTCTGTAATGAGCATATAGTTTTGTAATAGGAAGTACTTAAAAGTATTACCTTTTTGAAATTACTGAATATCATAAAGATCCAAATAATGATAATTATTGCCATGAACCAAACATGGACAGGAAAAGTCCCCTTTCAGAGTTGTACATGTAAATTTAGTAAACAAAGTTACTAAGTTATACAGCTAAAATTCATACCTAACTAAACACAAAGACTTGAATTTCCTTTTGTTTCCAAAGGTTTTTTTATTTATCATTGATGTCTTAGAGAGGCATTATAGTACAGAGGAAAGAACACTGCACTGAGAGACACAAGGGTCTTAGGTTTGAATTCTCATTCTGCCCCTCAGTAGCTGTGTGACCTTTTGCAGGTTACTTAACCTCCTGCGGTTTGTCTTCTCTGCATTTAAGTGAGGACATTTATGAGATTGCTAGAGTTCCTCTCTGCTCTAAAATGTTATACTTATAAGAATTGTAATTAAACCTGTTTATAGATCTTGGTGGGCAGATAGTCAGAATCTTAAAACAAAACTTAAATCTGGCAACTTTGCTTCTATGAACCAGATGGCAAAGCATGCAAAGTTCAAATATTAGGTATTACTCCATAACATTTCAGTCAACCTGCTGCTTCCTTTCATTATGGTGTTCAGGTAACTAACAGTCAAGAGGGAAAAACAGTATTCCGGAAGATTGATTTCAGTCTTGCTAATGACTAAAGACCTTGGGTTGAGCATTTTATGAAACTCAGTGGAATATGGACCTAGTAACACATAGGAGCAAGGAGAGAAAAGAAAAGGAGATATATGACCTTCCTTTCTGAGGGAGAGGAGGCAGAAAATTGCTTTGGTTGCCATGGTAAACTTTCATCCCTTAGAGAGATGTTGGCAAACAGGCTGTATCTCCAGTGCAGAATGTTTACAGTCCTGCACTGTAATTATCTCTCAATGACTGGCAGAATTAATCAGAGCTTTTATGTTAATTAGCCTTGCTGCAGTCCCCAAAACAGGTGGTGGGAAATATGCAAATCTATGCAGAATTTTAATGCTCTGCATAACCAGTTTTAATTACCATAAAATTTTCTCTTCGTGCCCCTTTCAGGAGTGTGTTCTCTTTCTCTCTTGACTGTAGCATTTTCCCTCTAAGCTTGTATGTTACTTAATGGGAGATGCTAGATTTACCGTTCTTTAAAATATTAGATGAAAAGTTCTGTGGGTCAAATAATCATCTTTAAGATGGTATATGAAGATTCAGACTGACCACCAGGTATATGTCAAAATGTTGGTATGAAGGGTCTAGTACAGAGATGGATTAAAAATGTATTCTTCCCTTTACTCCTTATTTGGGGTTGTGAAAAATTCTGTTGATATGTGAAGGACTAATATTTTTTCTTTTTAAAAATTATAATTGCAGCTTTGCTGGCATTAAAATAAAAAGTCTAAAAACTTAGTATGTAAAACTAAGATGATACAAAGATTTATAAAAAAGGAAAAGAGGGAAACAAGAAAACTTAGGACAGAAAAAGTCTTATGTATTAAATGATTCTTCAATTATGGGGTTATAAGTACAATTCTTTTAATCAACTATTTGAAATCTTTTACTTCTACCCCACCCACCTCAGTCTAAATCTAATGAAGAATCGGGGGATTCCCAGCAGCCAAGTCAGCCTTCCCAGCAGCCTTCAGTGCAGGCAGCCATTCCCCAGACCCAGCTTATGCTGGCTGGAGGACAGATAACCGGGGTAAGTTTTCACTGAGAGAATTGTAATAAACTTTCTCTGTGTCAAAACTGCCATTGGCCAATATCTTATTAGAGCTGTTCACCATAGCTGGCAGTAACATGGCTATGCCTGGCACTATTGTGTCTTCAAGGAACTTTCTATACTGTAGGCAGCTCTGAAAAAGGAATCATCTTTGTCATAAGTTCTCTGGATATCTTCTGTTACAATTGCAGATGCTCTGGATAAACTAAGTACTTTTTTAAATCCATGTTTCAAGTGTTGCTTCATCATGCAATCGAATCACTATTGTATAGTTGAGACCATTACATTGATGAAATAATGGTAGTTGTCATTTTGGCATTATGACATCACTCCAAGGTCAAAGTTAAAGAATGGATTAGTACTTACAAAAGAAAAACATTTTCTTTAAGTTACTACTATGTAATGTTCTCAAATAAACCATGGTTCATGTCCTGACTCTGCAGCTTACCCTGTGGGCTAATTACTTCATTTCCCTGTACCTCAGTTTTCCTTCTGTTAAATGGAGATACTAATAATACCTATCTCACAGTACTGTTTTAAAGATTAGAAATAATATATGTAAAGCTCAAAGAATAGTGCTTGGCATGTGGCATTCAATAAATTTATTTTCACACTTGATCTTAGCCAAAAGGCGAGAAGTGATAAATGTCATTTATTTTTATTGTTTATGAATTGATCTATGTGAATATATTAAGCTTTTAACTTTCCAGCTGCCTTTGCTCTTAGGCACCATTTAAAATATTTTTCCAATGTTGAAAATTTGTGTTTTAGGTTATCTTGGGGAGTGGTTGGGGGAATCATGAGGGAGAATTTTCAATGCACATCACATCAACCCCCAGAATTTTCTATCTTCTTCATTTCTGTTAAGTGTGTTTTGGCAGGGGAAGGGCCCCTTTAAGAACTGTTGGAAAATTGTTTACAAAAATCCCATCAGTAGAGATTAATATATGTATATATATTATAATAAATATTTAAATATATACTAAATATATACATATCTCTTTATGGGTATTGAGTTTTTGAATGGTTTGATTTCAAGTCTTATGTTTCTAATGCACAAGTTGTGTTGGACCCTTTAAGAAGGAGGGTTGTACCACTAAGGGACCGTATATGCACTTCAGAATAGTCCGTGGTTGCTTCTCAGTTGATCAGAACCTAACACCAAAAGGAAAGTAGAGCACACTTACTACTTTGAGTTAGGCGTGTTTCAAATAAGTTGCATTATGAAAGCAAGTTTAAATCTGCTCTAAATGCATTTCCTATTTTACTATTTGGGTCTTGTTTTTGGTGACTGGGGTCTACAATAAGAAGGGGCTCTTGGGAATTCCAGGTTCCTTTGGCTGGAGCTTCTATTAAACCGGGGCATTCAGATTCATTTGCATATAAAGAGAGCGGCTGTCACCACCTGTTTCCTAGAGATAATATGTTGGAAAGGGGATGTAAAGTTGCAGAGACTCAATGCTTTCAATAACAGAAAAGATTGTGTTAGGGAGGGGCCTGTAGGGAGACTTGGAAAAGAAACAAATGGAGCTCATATTCTTTAGTCATATCTTAGGACATAATGAAAATGATGGAATATGGCAGGGATTCGCGCTAATGGGAAGCAGCTGGGCCTTATCAGTTCTTCCCTTGGTCATATCCAGCATCCTTGTTCTTCATTCATCTGACTAATCACTTGCTGTTTTGCTGGGTGTAGATTTCTTTTCATATCCTGTCAGCATTGATTCTTTTTTTCTTGCTTACTAGTTAATTACTTTTTTTGCCTGAACCCTAGGGCCCTGGACAAGCTTGAATGATTATTTAAATCCAGAGCCAGGACCGCCATTTTAATTTAAATGTTGTGCTAGTAGTGATGATGTCGCTGATGAACATTTTAGCTGCATGCTAACATATGAAGTTGGGTAGCTAGGGACTTATACCACTTGAGTTACCTATTTCAAAGCAGTTAGCTTGAATGAGGGGCCCTTCTCCTTCAACCCTTCCCCATTATGTGTTCTAATTTTGTTTAGCTGACTTTGACGCCCGCCCAGCAGCAGTTACTGCTACAGCAGGCACAGGCACAGGCGCAGCTGCTGGCTGCTGCGGTGCAGCAACATTCCGCCAGCCAGCAGCACAGCGCTGCTGGGGCCACCATCTCAGCCTCCGCCGCCACGCCCATGACGCAGATCCCCCTGTCTCAGCCCATACAGATCGCACAGGTGAGTGGGCAATAGCTCGGGCAGCACGTGAGGACTACAGTGGCAGATTTTATTTAACAGTAAATTAACTTTCCAATTGTTAATACGGGCCCTTAAAGGCCTGAGGAGCTGTAAATCAGCGAGGTAAGTGGTACCCTTCCTTACCACTAAATTAGAAATTATGCATTTGTTTGCTTATTTGAGTTGATATTATAAACACATAGCTGATTATTTGAATAACTGACTGTTTATATTAAGTGACAATTCTTGAATAATTAGCTGGCATATTTCAGAAGCGGGGGATTACTGTATTTATTTTAATTAGCTAATTATAGCAGGCATGGGTTCTTTCATGTGCTCCGTAGTGAATATTGCCACCCATGTGTGAGAAAGACAGCAAGTCATCTCTTTGCTACAGAATGATTAGCATTATGCAGAACTGTATTAGAATGTTGTTTGGTTTTGATTTTTACATTTTAAGGCAAAGTATCCAGAGATAATAAAAGTTTATTTGAGAGACATAGACATTAGAGTACCAAGTAGGAAAATAAATGAAATCCTTTATCTTATGAAGAGGAAAAAGGTATAAGTAGTTATATCAGTAATCTACAGGAAGAGTTATCATGAGTCTAGTACTAGACAACTATCTTTATCCCCCCAGAAAAGACTCAAAAATGGACTTAAATTGTAGCAAGAGTTTGAACAGACATTAAAGAAGAACTAATTAAATGTCAGACTAATTTTTATTATTGTTATATACAGTATTTATCATGATAATGATTTGATTTTGACCATGTTCTTCATCACCAAACAAATACTTTCAGTGCCTAAGTTTCGAGACCCTATGTTGACATTAGTCTATAATAAGATAATATACATGAAAGCACTTTGAAAATTATAATACACTAAGCCAATATAAGTGCTGTTGTTATGTTATGGAGCAGAATTTTATGTGGGTAGCTATTTTTCTTTTTTAAAAACTTGAACACTGATTTCTCAGTTGTTAGATAAGCTGGTCTCAGATTCATTAATCATTACAGGGCTTTTGACTTATTGATGGAAATTCAGTCATAAGGATCTCAATTGTTACTAAATGAGAAAAATCAAATATTTTAAAACTTTTTTCTCACTTGATTTTTAAAACCCATATTGGTTTATATATGTTACAAAACAGAACTATAACCATTTGTTCTGAGGGAATTTTAAATAACTATTAAAATTAGGCTTAGCATAAGTCATGACACAATAATATATGTCATTGCACAAAAATAGTAAGTTCTTACAGTAGCTCCAGGTTTCTTCACATACTCTGTGAAACACACCCAGAGCACACTCTTTTTGGAAATTTGAAAGAATGCTAATTATATACTCTTCTTTATTTGGATGTGACAGAAGTCATTAGCTGGAAGCCTATGATCAAGTGAGCTTTATTGTATAATCTCCAATCCAATCCATGTTTTAATTCTGATTTTTCAGGATCTTCAACAGCTGCAGCAGCTTCAACAGCAGAATCTCAATCTGCAACAGTTTGTGTTGGTGCACCCAACTACCAACCTGCAGCCAGCACAGTTTATCATCTCACAGACGCCCCAGGGCCAACAGGGTAAGCTCCTGTTAGAGCTTATTAGTTTTGCACAAAGGCTGTCCACATAATGTTGACGTGCACATTGACTGCTGTCATTTTGACTCTGAAACTGTCCATTACAACAATATTTTTATTACATTTTATCTGATTTTAAACTGTCAGTAGTCATGTTAAGAAAAAAAAATTTTTTTGGCATGTATACCACATTATTGAAGGTTGCCCTGAACTGCCATTCATGTTTTTAATCACTAAGGAGGAGCCAAAAGTTTGGCTAAAACTCTGAGTGAAATTATTCAGCATGCTGAGCATAAATTGGATAAATTGCTTCTAGTGTTTTGACAGTTTTTCACAGGAATGTATTTGAAGAATATGGACTGAGAGTTATAAGTGTATGCTTCTAACAATTGTTTGTTATCTTTTAAAGTTTGAGAAAGAGAGAATGTTATGTTAGAAACTATAAATTTTGTGAGTTATAAAAAACATTTTTAAGGTCTTTGAGTGATAAATATTGTATCATTTCAGTATCAAACAATAAAATTCAGTCATGTTTGTAAGGTTGGTTAATGTGATCAGTGTAGAGTATCAGGATATCAAGGCTTAAACACAAGGAAATATTAGCGCATCTCTACCAATCCTTCATTATTTCTGGGGTAGTTGTTTTTGCCTTTGTTCTTCTTGATCATTCATCCCGAAATCTTTTGTCATATAAATACTTATTCGAGCATATATTCAAGATTAAAAGATGAGTACGTCAGTTTTTTCTTTCAGAGGGCTTACAATCTAGTGACAAGGAAATAGACCTATTACACATGTTAGACTTGATATTCACAGAACACTGTGGGAGCCAAGCTGAGACCCCTTGTACCTTTGTGATCACAATGAATTTGGGAGAATGCCTTTATAGACTTATAAAGGAGAGAATGTCAGTTGTAGAAAATGAATAGCATTTGAAAAGCTCAGAAACACAGAAGAAAAATCAATAAGCCATGTTTGAGAACTATAAGTAATGCCTTAGACACTACATTTTAAGTTGTATATGTGGGTAATAGTGAACTTTCAGGCCAGAAAGATTAACAGAGACCAAATCAGTAAAGAACCTCACATTAAGTTTCTAGAAGTTTGGCCTTAAATCCTATAGCTTAGTCGTTCCCAAGGTTTGATTATTTGTCACTTGGGAAATTAGGAAAGAAACTTCCTGAGCCTCACCCCAGAATTTTAACGAGCACTTTAGAGATTCTAATATAAATAGCCCAATACCTTCCCGTAAGTCTTCTGTAGGCTATATGAAATCACAGAAGGTTTAAGCAGAAAAGTGACGTTTCCAGGTTTGTTTTAAGAAAGCTCATGCTGAAACTTGGGGAGGAAAAATTAGAATGAATAGGAATAGAGAGAGTAATACTGGTTAGGAGAATATTGTAACAGTCCTATTGAGGATTGGGGCTGAACTATGATTGTGGGGATAGGAAAGACAAGATGATTTGCTAAATAAATAGGTGGATGGACAGGACCTGGTCGCCAATTGTATTTGATTAATGATAGGGAAGAGATATCTAGGTATTTCCTGGGTTTTTAGGCAACTGTGAGGGTTGACGGGGTCATATGGAGAAAATGTATGTGTAGTATTAAAAGTGCTGTGGAAAAACCAGCCCTTTAGGTACGGGAGGAATAAGATGAAGATGAAGATACTGGCTGGGTGTAGTGGCTCACGTCTGTAATCCCAGTACTTTGAGAGGCTGAGGCAGGAGTATATCTTGAGGCCAGGGGTTTGAGAGCAACCTGGACAACATAGCAAGACCCCATCTCTACAAAAAATTTAAAAATTAGTGGGGTGTGGCGCACACCTGTAGTCCCAGCTACTAGAGAGGCTGAGCCCAGGAGTTCGAGGTTGCAATGGGCTATGATGGCACCACTGCACTCCAGCCTGGGTGACAGAGCAAGACCCTGTTTCAAAAAAAAAAAAGAGGAGGAGAAGATACTCTGATTTCAGATGTAAAAAATTAGTGGAGAGTGGTAATCACAATAGAAGAGAATTCTAAGAGGGAAGGAGAAAGTTACCTAGATCATAGAGACTTAAGGTCAAGACTGAAGTGTATATATTAGATTTGCTTATCTTCAGGGTGATAGATGGCACCAAAAAAAAAAAAACAAAACCAGATTTGGTAATTGTTAAAAGCCTTACAATTGAATGAGATTGCCTTCATTTATTTGTGTCAAAGACAAGGGCATTGTCTTTCCTTTTTCAAATCTGGGACCTCATTTAAAAGAGTAAAGCCCAAAATAATTGGAATACCTACTAATTATTCATTCTGATTTTTTGGTAGTTGCAAAGGTATTTGTATGTTCTTAAGGCCTCCCAACCTCCACAGACGTTTATAGGAAACAGACGCTATTAGGAAAATAGCACAAAGTATATAATACTGTTTGGCTTTAGAGCCAGTGACCTTGGACAATTCACCTGACCTTTCTGAGTTTCGTATCTTTCTCTTCTCATCTTCCCCTTCACTTACATGAGTGAATTACACAAAATGTTTTATTAACAAGAAGATCATTCATTGTAATGTGTTAGTTAAGAGGAAACTACTCTCTGAATTTTGGCTCTGCCACTTTTTGTTTGTGTCTTTTGGAAAGTTAACTTTCTGTGCCTCAGTTTCCTTGTCTGTAATATGAGGATACTTTTAGTATTTACCTCAAAGAGTTGTAAAGATTCATTGAGTAAATACATGTTAAAGGTGCCTCATACATAGTAACTTCTCTGAATCTTTTCTGCAGTTATCATTATGACATTACGATATCAGTATTATCAGTCAAGAAATGGTAGATTTAGTAGCTCAGAGAATGAAAATAGTTTGTACCTTTAATTTAAAAAAAAAAGCTTGAAAATAATCTGGAATCAGTTTGTACCGCTGCTGCTGAGTTGTAACCAATCAGTTAGTAGTATATGACCTAGATTTTATTTTCTAAGATGATTCAACAATGTAAAGGATGTGAAAAGTAGAAACACGTTTATATAAACATTTCCAGGAGTGGAATTTATTGTAATTAATATTAATAGCATCAGAGAAGCTGAAAAAATCTGAATAGCTATTCTTTTAACTAATGATGGAGGACAAAGATTTGATCTGTTGAAATTGCAATAATAAATGTTTCCAGCATGAGATTAGCCTTCAATATTGATTGCTTGAGTTCTGTTTTCCCTTGTTTTTCATTTATTAATCTAAAACTTTTGAAGTATAGTTTATATTTTTGACAGTATTGCTAAGATCATATAACTCTGTCTTCAATTTCTAGAAAGGAAAATCGAAGCCATTTTTCCAGAATTATCAGGATTATTTTTCTTTCTTTTTCTTGGGAAAACTCTTACTGATACCTGTCTGAACTTGAGTCATAATTTGTTGGAGATTTTATTTTGTCCTTTCTGCTCCCCCCATTTATTCTGAAAATAATCAAAGAAATATTCTTGTTTGAAAAAACTGTTTCTTCATTTAGTTTTTGTTGTTTGCAGGGAGGGGGATAGAAAGGGTTCCTTAAGAAAGTTTTAAACCCCTCTGGGCCCTTTTAGCATTTTCAGCTGAGCTCATTTGGGGGAAAAGACCTAAGGTTTGAATTCATTTATAAAATATGCTACTACGAACAAAAATTAGTCATTCATAATTATAACTTCTGATTGCATAGGAATCATTTGTTAAATATCTGCTTTTGTAACTTACTTAAAAACTAACTTTTCATTGTTAAACTTTAAAGAAACTCTTGTGTTGAAATAGCCTATGCTTAATGAGACCTCATTTCTGACCTTTGTGCTCTCTTCTGTTTCATTTTTTATTGTTATTTTGGAATATTCTTTAGTCTTTAGCTTTTTCAAAATAATTTTATTTAATTAGTTTTAACCATTGACATAAAATATAGTTTTATTTTTTTTCTCTAGACTACCCTTCAATTTTCTGAAATCAGTAAAATTTAATATTTTAATTAATTTACTCAACAATTTGTTGAGTGCCTGTTAAGTGTCATACAGTGCTCTGATCCCCCAGTGATATGGGGGATATAATTTAGAACAAGATACAGTCCCTGCTTTCATTAGAAGTCAAATAGAAACCATGTAAACAAATAGTTAAAATAGCAGTAAGTACCAGGCAGACCACAGATCAGAGTAACCTGGTAATGGTTAACCTGTGGAAGAATGGACCTGTGGAGCCTCTCTAGAGAAGCAACATTTGAATTAGGAACTGAATGATGATGGGAAGGTTGCCACACCTTGGATCTGGGTGAGAGTCTTGTAGACAAAGGAATGCAAAGCACCTGAGATAAAGAACTTGACCTAATTGGGGTATGTGAGAGGGAAGGCCAGTGTAGCTGGTGTTCAGTGAGTGAAAGGAAGTGGTAGGAGATAATGTATGAGAACTGGTCCAGGCCAGATTACCTACAAATGCTCTGATGGCCTTATATTACAATTAGAATACAATCTATAACTACTCTATGGGGATTGAACTATAGAGAGACACTGGGGGAAGCAGGATGGTCATTTAAACTTCCATCAATCTGCCTTAAGAAACATTTGTAGTAATATGTACTGAATTTTATTTCATTTAATCATATTTGCTTCAAAATATATTTCACTTGTCCCAGATCAACAAAAGTTAGGATTCTCTAGAAAAATCCAAATCTACTTTATATATTTATCTTATTTGTGATCTATATTATGAAATAAATCTATTTTAATAGCTTAAATTCAGGCAGTGCTTATTTACAAATATAAATGACAGACTCTGACTGATCTGTTTACGTTTTTTGGCTATTGTCCTACATATTCCAATAATCAGTATGTCCAAATTTAATAACCTAAGGAAATCATAATTAGGAAGATACATGTTGCTCCAGATAATCTTACCACATATTTTTCTTTTCTTTTCTTTTCTTTTCTTTTCTTTTCTTTTCTTTTCTTTTCTTTTCTTCTCTTTTCTTTTCTTCTCTTTTCTTCTCTTTTCTTCTCTTTTCTTCTCTTTTCTTCTCTTTTCTTCTCTTTTCTTCTCTTTTCTTTTTTCTTTCTTTTCTTTTTTTTTTTGAGACAAAGTCTCACTTTGTTGCCTGGGCTAGAGTGCCATGGCATCAGCCTAGCTCACAGCAACCTCAAACTCCTGAGCTCAAGTGATCCTCCTGCCTCAGCCTCCCGAGTAGCTGGGACTATGGGCACGCGCCACCATGCCTGGCTAATTTTTTCTATATATTTTTGGTTGTTCAGCTAACTTCTTTCTATTTTTAGTAGAGGCGAGGTCTCGCTCTTGCTCCAGCTGGCCTCAAGCTCCTGAGCTCAAAGGATCAGCCAGCCTCGGCCTCCCAGAGTGCTAGGATTATAGGCCTGAGCCACCACGCCCCGCCATTACCACATATTTTTAAAAATGGTAGAATCCCTTTTGTTTGGTCTGCCATGTTGGATAATTTCTACCTTTGATCTTATCTGAGCACACATAATCCTGTATCTAGTATTTAATGAATAGCAGCAGCATTATATTAAAAACTAGGTACTACAGATTAAATCCTTAAATACAGACATTCTGGGTTGGTTCTTTTTGTAAGGTTCTGAAAATAAAAAGCCACAGACTCAAGTAATTGACTGGACGTTTACTACAAACATGTCAAGTGTTCACATTTCTACTTTGAGTGTCACTTGTCATCGTGAAGCATTGCTGGCATTACTTATCAATGATTTTTAAACTAAAGTTTTAAATTTTACATTTTAAAGATAGTTTGTGTTAATGCAAATAGAGTATTTTACATTTACCTTTATTATCACCAAAAGGCAAATATTTGATAAGGAGAATTTGAAAACAACTTTTTTTCCCACCTAAAGGATAGCATGTTCCTTTCAGGTCCAGCATGCACTGGCAGTTTTTAATGGATTCTAGGTTAAGAAATTAAACTTTTGGAATTTACAGCTGGTTTCATTTAGAATAATTCTTCACTTTCATCCACTCCTTATTAAAATAAAGAATTGGCCTATCAGAGAACTTATTCACATTATGCTAAAAAACATATCAGTTTTAATTTAATGTTCCATGTCTTCTTGCCCAAGTTGTATTTAACAAGATTGAATTTTAGACAAATAATAATTTTAAGACCAATAGGACTATCAGGAGAGCAGCTGGAAATTTTCAGGTAACATTCATATTCTTTCTTTCCATGTGTTCAATATAATCTTCAATGTTTCTTGCACAACGTGCTTGTGTTTTACAGGTCTCCTGCAAGCGCAAAATCTTTTAACACAACTACCTCAGCAAAGCCAAGCCAACCTCCTACAGTCGCAGCCAAGCATCACCCTCACCTCCCAGGTCAGTTTTCTTCTCTGGAGGTTCTCTTGCCTTATTGTTTTGGGAGACTTTTGGACTTTATTTGATTTAAAAACCCCAGAAAACCTAATTAAAATAATTAAGTCTTCAAAACTAACCAGAAATTCAAAGCTGAGGTTATCAGTTTGATAAAACAATGGTACCAAAGTCATACAGTCTTTGAAAATCATCAGGAGTCTGTATTTTCTTATAACTGTGTTGGCAGTAAACGAGCAATGAGTTGTGATTCTGTGACACCTCCCCCTACCATATCTGGCAGTAGATTTTACCACTTTAACTGGAAACCTGGAACCTCAGTTAAAACCCATCATTATCCTATGCCCTTTCTGAGAAATAGCAAAGAAGCTCTGGTCTCTCGTTTCTTTCCTGTCAATACTTGGTTGTTGCATTTGCTCATTTATGCTAGACCATGTAAACATTACAAAAAAAAAAAAAAAGGCAAAGTGTTAGGTATTTAGAGGTTTAAATTATAGACCTAGTTCTGCTTCTTACCTGTGTATGATTTTGAGCATATAATTTTTCCTCTGTGGACCTTAATCTTCTCATCTCTAAATTAGGTGACTGAACTGGCTAATCCTGAATCCCCTTGCCCTCTGACTTTGCAGTATGGAATTATCACTTAATACTAACACATTGCCAGATTTGACAGAATTCAGCATCTATGTATGATAAGAACTCTTGCAAACTAGGTATTATAAGAAGGTAACTTTCTTAACCTAATAAAGAGCATCTAACATAAAAACCCCCATCATCATACTTAATGATGAAAGACTGAATACTTTTTCCCTAAGATCAGATACAAGACAAGATGACCAGTTACCACCTTTAAGGTGCTTAGTAGCACAATAAGACAAGAAAAAGAATTAAAGGTTACATATAGATTAGAAAGGAAGAAGTAAAACTATCTTAATTGGTAGATGACATAATTATCCATGTAGAAAATCCTAAGGAATCTACCCCAAAATTTTCTGGAATAAGTTAGTTTAGCAAGTATGTAGGATACAAAGTCAATATACAAAAGTCATTTATATTTCTGTATATTAGCAATGATCATTTGAAAATTGAAACTATGAAAAAAATTTATAGTACTTATGGATAAACTTAACAATGTTTTAAGACCTATGCATTGAACACTATAGTGTCTCTCACCTGGGCTACCATTCACAGGCAGGATCAACTAAGCAATTAAGATAGAGTCAAAGTAGTACCTCTCACTAGTGAACACTCAGAGGCCTGTGTTCCACTCAAGGTTTGTGAGGAGAACAGAATAGTCTTGTCTAATAAGAAAATTTAATATTTTCTTTTTAAAAAGAGCCTATACTCTCATGCCCCCCAAAAAACTTTAGAAGGATTTAAGTAATTAAATGTTTTAAAAATACATTGAATAAAATGATAGATTAAAAGGAGTTTTATCATAGTGGAAAAAATAAAGTAGGCCTCCTTAGATTTGAAGCAACAGATGATGTTGGAAAGGAAAATAAGAAGCTCAGCCAAATGATAGCTTAAAGCTTATGTATACTGAAAAATAAAAGGAAAAAAGCAGATAGGAAAAATTATTTGCATTGACAAAAGACTCAGTCTATAACATTTGATGATCTCATCAAGCATAAGAATAAGTATATAGGCCGGGCGCGGTGGCTCACGCCTGTAATCCTAGCACTCTGGGAGGCCGAGGCGGGCGGATCGCTCAAGGTCAGGAGTTCAAAACCAGCCTGAGCGAGACCCCGTCTCTACCATAAAAATAGAAAGAAATTAATTGGCCAACTAATATATATAATATAAAAATCAGCCGGGCATGGTGGCTCGTGCCTGTAGTCCCAGCTACTCGGGAGGCTGGGGCAGGAGGATCACTTGAGCCCGGGAGTTTGAGGTTGCTGTGAGCTAGGCTGACGCCACAGCACTCATTCTAGCCTAGGCAAGAAAGCGAGACTCTGTCTCAAAAAAAACAAACAAACAAACAAAAAAAAAGAATAAGTATATCATTAATATATAAATGGATTAAAGACATAAATCCAATTCAAATCCAGGAAATACAGATAATAATTAACATACGAAAATTTCAACTTTGAGTAGTAAGAGAAATATAAATTAAGGCAGCAGTAAGGTATGAAGTACCATTTACTCCCTGAATTAGCAAAACATTTTTTAAAACTACTGACATAAATCATGTGGAGGAAACTAGCATTGTATAGTGGGCACCAACATTGCAGTGTGTATTAAAAGCCATGAAATTGTTGGCTGGGCTTGGTGGCTCATGCCTATAATCCCAATACTTTGGGAGACGGAGGAGAATCACTTGAGGCCAGGGCTCAAGACCAGCTTGAACAGCATACGGAGACCCTATCTCTACAAAAATGTTTTAAAAATTAGCCAGGTGTGGTGGCACACGTCTGTAGTCCCAGCTACTTGGGAGGCTGAGATCAGAGAACAACTTGAGCTCAGCAGTTTGAGGTTGTGAGCTATGATGATGCCACTGCACTCTAGCCTGGGCAACAGAGTGAGACCCTGCCTCAAAAAAAAAAAAAAAATGCCATGAAATTGTTTATCCTGTTACCAGAAAATCAACTGTGAAGTTATCTCAAAGAACTAATTACGTACATAGGTAGAAAAAATAACTAATATGTATAAAGTTTTTCATTGTGGTATTATCTATGTCAGTGAAAGCATAAATGAAAAGTGTCCAGTAATTAAGAACTGGTTAAATAAATTATGATATTGCCTCAGTCAGCTTTTGAAAAGGATTATTATGAAGACTGAAATGCCATAGAAAAAAGTTAAAGCAATGTTAAATGAGAAAAACTGTGTAAAAAATGCATGCCATAATTAAGTTAAGGTTTAGAAATGTAGATCTGTGGAAAAAAACTTGAACAAATCCGCAAAATGAAACCTAAATTATTTAAACAACAAATGATTTATTTTTTCCCCTTAAAATAGTTTAAATAATCTTATAATACTATTTTTATAATAATGTCACATGTTGGAGATGTGATAGTGATAAACAAGACAGATATGGTCTTTATTGTTTCTACAGTGTAAGTGGCATATTTATGAAACAGATTTTTTAAAATAATTTATTTAAAGGCATAAGACATTTATTCAGACCTTTTGGAAACCCAGATATAATGTATTTCATTTTTGTGTATTCAGGTTTTTTTCTATAGAATTACATGCTTATCCTTAACTGTAATTATACTAAACAGAATTTCATAGTCTGCTTTTCCCACTGAACATTAGGTTGTACATTTGGAAGTGTTACATGATTTTCATCACTCTCCATGAATATAGCTGTTTCCTTAAGTTGTTCACTTGTAGCACATTCCAGTTGTAAAACTTAAACATCTGTTTGTATGTTTGTTCTTATCATTCTGTTCCTTCTGCAACAGCCAGCAACCCCAACACGCACAATAGCAGCAACCCCAATTCAGACACTTCCACAGAGCCAGTCAACACCAAAGCGAATTGATACTCCCAGCTTGGAGGAGCCCAGTGACCTTGAGGAGCTTGAGCAGTTTGCCAAGACCTTCAAACAAAGACGAATCAAACTTGGATTTACTCAGGTAGGATGAACCCACTCTTAGTTGGATTTCCCCCCTTGGCAGGTCTAAACGCAGTTGGCCCTCTGTATCCCTGGTTTCCACATCTGTGGATTCAGCCAACCGTTGATTCAGAATATTCAGAGGGGGGAAAATAATGGGTGGTTGTGTCATGTACAGATTTTCTTCTCTTGTCATTATACCCTACACAATAAAGTGTAACAACTGTGGCATTTATATTGTATTAAGTATTATAAGTAATCTAGAGATGATTTAAAGTGTATAGGTAGGTGTGCATAGGTTATATATAAATACACCATTTTATATTCTTGAGCAGACGTCCTCAAACTACGGCCCGCCGGGTGTTTTTGCCGCCGCTGCCTGTCCTGCTTAGCAGCCGACTCGTCCCAGGCCCATGTGTGGAATGTGTGCCACACTCTCCAACGGCCTGAGGAACAGCGAACTGGCCCCCTGTTTAAAAAGTTTGAGGACCCCTGCTCTTGAGGATTACAGCATCTATGGTTTTTGGTATCTGAGAGGGGTCCTGAAACCAATCGCCCATGCATACCAAGAGACAACTGTATTTGCTTTATGTGTCAAAAGAGGCTTCTAAGGAACAATGTTTCTCAGCCATGTTGTTTTTGGTCTTAAACTGTACCTTTTTGTTAGCCATTTCCTGCATTTATAGTTTTAGAATATTGTATACATTTAATTATAAGTTTATCATTTAATGTTAAGTTAAACCTTTAAGATTTCTTCAGAACACAGGTCTCTGAAATCATAATTATTAATGTATCAATAAATTGTGAGAGTTTTAAAAGATGATATTGGGGAATGATATGACTATACTGAGGGTTTTGTTATTTGAAGAACATCTGGTTGTAGACCTTAGTGTTGCATATGTAAGGTTGACAGAGTAAAAATTACAAGGTCTTTTATAATAACTAAAAGAGGAAAAGTTTGAAAGGCTTGTTTAAAAATAGTTTTGGGGGAGAGAGGAGGCTAATAGAGACATGCATGCACATTCTCTAAAGCTGTACTGAAACTAATCAAATAACAATCTATTGAAAATGAAAAACTGAAATTAATCAAAATCCAAATTAATTTTTTAAATGTCAGCTAAAATGATTTAGGATCATTAGGTGAAAAAAATGAAGTTTCTTGGAGGATTGGTTTGGGTGTTTTTATGGAATGGGGAAAGACCTGATGTTTGGAGTGTTTAAGCCACCGCTTAAATACTATTCAAATTATTTTGTGTTGAAAGTACAGTAAGGCTCCACCTACGTTAGTGGGTCAAAAACCAGGATGACATCCCTGCATGTATTCTAGGGATTTTGGGGAATAGACATATATCTCTTTGGAAATTTATTTTTGTTTAAAGAAACTAATTGTATATTGGAAACATAAAATGATTTTAAAATAGATATAATTTTAAAGGAAATGCAGTTACATTTGTAAGTAGTTTCAGTTATGAAAAAAATTATAGAACATTTTAATATTTTTGAAACATCTAAGTGATCTTACCTTTAGCTTTTTTTTTTTTTTGGAGACAGAGTCTCACTTTGTTGCCCAGGCTAGAGTGAGTGCCATGGCGTCGGCCTAGCTCACAGCAACCTCAAACTCCTGGGCTCAAGCAATCCTACTGCCTCAGCCTCCCGAGTAGCTGGGACTACAGGCATGTGCCACCATGCTCCGCTAATTTTTTCTATATATATTAGTTGGCCAATGAATTTCTTTCTATTTATAGTAGAGACGGGGTCTTGCTCTTGCTCAGGCTGGTTTCGAACTCCTGACCTCAAGCAATCCTCCCACCTCGGCCTCCCAGAGTGCTAGGATTACAGGCGTGAGCCACTGCGCCCGGCCTATGATTTCTTTCTATTTATAATAGAGACAGGGTCTAGCTCTTGCTCAGGCTGGTTTCTAACTCCTGACCTGGAGCAATCTGCCCGTCTCAGCCTCACAGAGTGCTAGGATTACAGGCGTGAGCCACTGCGACCAGCCTTACCTTTAGCTTTAAAAAGCTAAAGATAAAACTAGATTGATATGAGTAAGTTGATAAGCTGAAATAAACGTAAAGTTAGCATGTTTAGCAGTGCTTCGGGTGTTAGACTATATTAGCACAGCATACTTTTGTGTTCCTTGGGATGATTCTTGCCTAAATGACATGCCAAAGATGTTACGACTTCTAAAAATCTTTAACATTCTCTCACATAATGGTTTGCTTTTCTGTGGCATTTGATCCAATATATTGCCAGTATTATGTTTCTCCCTCCTGCTCCTCCCCCTCCACATAAAGGACCTTCCTTGTGGTCTGATGTTTTGCTTTATGGTTATCCTATTTTTTGGCATGACCATTTCTTATTTTTCAAAATGGCTATGATGCAGCAGTGGCATTGGTTCACAAACTTTGACTGCTACTGCTGCAGGATGGGAAAATCAGCCAATCAACCTCTGTTTTTAGGTCTAATACCTCACTTGTAGTTATTCAAAGGTTGCTTTGTATCCAGTTTTTTTTATATGTATATGCACACACATACACAGAGTTAGACATTCAAGTTATATTTGTTGAAACAAATCCCAATTCTCTGTGTTAAATATACATGTTATTGGATGTTTTAAACAGTTATTATATAATTGCTTATTAAAGGTTACTACAGATGACATTGCATAATTAGAAAGCATGTCATAGTATATAATACACTTATTACATGAGGTACATCCATTATTTCCTAGTGCTAGTCTTTGTTCCTTTTTTCCTTTTACTCTTTAAAAATATTGAAGGGATTTAATATAGTTCAGATTATGTATGAATTAGCTGCTTAAAATATTTACTTTTGTGAAGGATGATGCAAAACCATTGTGAGTTACAAGAGCACCAAGCCAAGCATATACCAAATTAATGAAAATTAGTATGTTAACTGAGAGACCTATTACTTTTTATTCAATTAAATAATTTAAATGTGAAATAGCATTATATTATAAATCTCAATTAAGTGGATTTGTCATTTATTGCCGTGGTTCTAGTTACTAATAGTTAATGGCTTTATTTCCAGGTACCACCTAAGGGTATTGTTTGTTATACTTACTCTGATGTGATTTTTGAATAGATATTTTATGTTTTGTTTACTTGTTACAATTATTATTTTATATAAGATATTATAGAAGTTTGTGATAAATTGGTAGTACGTTGTGCAGTTACAATGCCAGAAAACACTTACTGCCATCTAACTGCTGCAAAAGGTCTTATCCTTACATAATTATGAAGTTTAGTTGGCCCTTGTTTCTAGGAAAGCTATAATCTAAACAGATAAAGTGACCAAGACATGAATATATGTGATACACAAAGCTTAAGTTCAGTGCTTGATATATAATAGGCAGTTAGTGAATATTTGTGGATCGAATGAAGTAGCATTTAATAGATATATAGAGATATAGGTACAGATAAACATATCCATCTATATCTTTAGATCTTTTTATACATATAGAATAAAATATATGGATGGCATTTATGCCCCACTTACATTATTCTGGTTCTTTCAGTTTTACTGCAATTGGAAGGAAATCAATAAACAGTGCACGTCAGTTCTAGTTAGAGTATATTCAGAGCTGTCATTAAAACTTTCCGTGATTGTGGGGATGTTTTGTATTTGTGTTGTCCAATACAGTAGCCACTGTTTGTGGTTATTGAGCACTTGGAAGGGCTAGCGGTGCTGAGGAACCAAATTTTTAATTTATTTGATTTTAATTAATTTAAATTTAAGCAGCCACACATGGCTGGTGACTATCCTATACAAAAGCATAAGATATAGATCACTTGATGTTCAAGTATTCTCGATGCCTCATTTTATCTTATAGTTCCAACATTGCTCCTCTATTTAACTTTTTATCAGAAGTTACTCACCAGTAAGAAAATGGACTCTGAAAAAAATGTTCTTTTGTTTCCTCAACTGCCACCTAATGCAGGTGCTAATAAACAATGTAATATCCAAAACATGGATGTGGGGCCAGGAATCAAAGGACCGGAATAATCTCAACTCAAAATAAATGTTGCCAGGATAGTTGGGAGTTGGGTATCTTGTCATAGAATTAGTTGTGTAGTACTTTGGACCAGAATGTTGTTGCCTTTCTGCCCTGTCACTAAACTAATTGAAATGAGTTGATAAATCATTTAAACTCCATGAGCTTCTATTACCTGTATATAAAATAACCATTAAGATACGGCTTTTTCTAGCTTGAACAAGAGATATTCAGCTAGAAGAGAAGCACTGTATACATTTCAAAGGTTATAGGCTTATAGAGAAAGACATCTTTTGTAATATATTCAGGGGATCATTGTTCTATTGCTGTAAGGTTACCAAGTTTCCAGTGCCCATGAAGGTTTAACTAAATGGGTCAAACCTCTCTACTGTGAATTTCTATCTCTGTAATGGTTACAAAAGTGGCCTTTTAGAATACCTGTTTTTTGTAACCAACTTTGAAATCCAAACTAAGGGTGAAAATAGATTTTTTTCACAGCTTCCAGAAATACTTTATATAGAGAAAAAAAAAGAGAGATCATTTCTAAATTTTAAAGTGATTTATGAGAAGTTTGGTTAATTCAGAAATACCAAGGATTATCTAGACAGTTTGTATCTAATCCCTGTAGGTGATATGGATAAATTGATTTTTAAAGATTACTTAAATCGCTTTGGTTGCATCAATTAAGAGGCTTGTTAGAATATAGGCCCTATCTTTTGTTACTTAGTAGCAATTTTGGTATCTTGATTATTACATAAGGTAGCAAGAAGATGGAAAGTATGTGGGACAGTGTTGAACACTGTCCTGATCAAAGCCTAAGAAAGTCCTCACTGGAGTGCTGTGCCTGGCTGAGGAATGGAGTTTATGTGAGACCCAAAAGAGGAATGAGAGCAGTCCTTGGAGTGACAGTCCAGAGTGATGGCTGTAAACGTTAGTAAGATGACTTTTTCTCTATTTTCCTCTCCCCTCTGCTGCTCCGTATTATTGTGCAGGGTGATGTTGGGCTTGCTATGGGGAAACTCTATGGAAATGACTTCAGCCAAACTACCATCTCTCGCTTTGAAGCCTTGAACCTCAGCTTTAAGAACATGTGCAAGTTAAAGCCACTTTTAGAGAAGTGGCTAAATGATGCAGGTAAGTGAATATACAGGACATTCCTTCATTGTTCATTGGGATTATTATATAAATTGGCATTTATATTTCTTACTATATTATTGATACTGAAGAACCTTGAAGCTTACTAATCCTGGGAGGATCATTATAAATTATGGCTATGTAAATCAGAAAGCTAATTCATTTAAATAGTCTAGTAATTACAGTGTAAATAATCAGCAATAACTTGTAGCCTTGAAATATTTCTTATATTTGAGCCAGGGTTAGGGATACACAGACAGTTGAAGGAACGGGATAAGAAGGCCTATGTATTTAGATAAACCCAAAGAACAAGTTATTGTTTCTTCTTTGATGAATTATCATAAGACTTGTTCCTGCTAATATTTCTGGTTTGCTTATTTAAAATGACCATATATTTCATACAAAAAGTTGGACCGCTGTTTTAACTTTTTTGTGTGTGTGCTGAAATTTCCTTTTGGAAGATTTGGATTTTGAGTCACAGAATCATAGACTGTGAGAGCTGTAGAGATCCCCTGGACTATGGTCCTCATTGCAGATGTGAACAAAAATTAGGCCTTTGGGAAAGACAAACCTGAGACACCCATCCTTAGACAGTTTGCTTCAGTAGCTATGGGAGGCCATCTGTAATCTTCCTGAGTTCCACAGGTGAGAATCACCAATCTGTTCCATCCATCTCATTTTACATGTAGCAGAAAGAAACTCAGAGATGTGTATGACATGCCCAGTGTTATTAAATGGTTAAATGGCAGAACCATGTTTTAACTTTAAAGAATTTATAAGTATTTCTTTCTTTTTTTTTTTTTACCCTAGATTATACCAATGAAATGAGAGGTCATTTACAAGATAAATATTAAACATTCAAAAATTTCCAAAAGACTTTTATTCCCAGAGTTCATAAACAAACAAATATAATATAAGCGCAGAACTGAAAGAGGTAGAGCTGAGTTTAAGGGTAAGAATAGTAAACTTCTGCTTTCTCAGAAACAAATCAAAAAGTAGTGGTGACAATATAGTCAACTATCCTGGAACAAAGAACACCATTAAGGGCAGTAGAAAGATTCATAATAGTAAACAGTATTTTAATTAGGTTATATGAAAATTTTTCATGTTTGGTTATGGCTTATTTTGTCAAATTTTTTGTCATTAACATGTGTATTATACACATGAATCATTATGTTCAGCTAATTTTATTTTTGTGTTTTCTTCATTCTTACAGAGAACCTCTCATCTGATTCGGCCCTCTCCAGCCCAAGTGCCCTGAATTCTCCAGGAATTGAGGGCTTGAACCGTAGGAGGAAGAAACGCACCAGCATAGAGACCAACATTCGTGTGGCCTTAGAGAAGAGTTTCTTGGAGGTCAGTGAGGTTTTTACTTTTCATGTACGTGGGATTGTCTGTGTAGTACTGTTAGAAATTGTAGATGATAAAAGATGACATATCAGCCTCTGTCCTTGTGGTTGCTTATAACATAATGGAAAAAATAAATGAAGTAAGTAAGTTACTGACATAGGAGACAGAATCAGAGTTCTGCAGGGTTCAGGAGAGACCAGAGTCACATCCATGTGAGCACTTAGTGTGAGAGAGGTGGCAGCTGCCGTAGGATGCGTAGGAATTAATCCCACACTGGAAAAGGTGGGAGGGAAGCACTTCAAGCAGAGGGATCCAGGGAGGGAACCATGGATTTTTATCAGGAGAAACACAAGTAGTTTGGTAGGCTAAATTCTAGTATCTATATGCCTGTAGTTTGGGACCAGAACACCAGAGACCTTGAATATTAGGTTATGGAGTTTAAGTTAATGCAACAGATATTTGTCAATTTCTTTTTTGTACTAGGCAATATCATAATCAAAGCTTTCAACAAAATTTTGACTTCTCTAATTCAGAAAAGGCTTGAGCACCTTGGGAAGACACTGAATTAGAAGTCTTATTAACTGCGTACTTAAGCAAATCACTTGATTTCTTTAAGATGAAGTTCCTTCATCTGTGAAATACCTGCTTTTTTTGCCTCACAGGCTTATTGTGAGCTCCAAGTTAGATAGCATGGAGCACAGAGAAAACTTAAATTCCTATTAATTCATAAGGTTATTTTGGTATTTTGTTAATTTTATTCAGGATTAAAAGACCTTAAAATGAAAAAATGTAAATATATAAGAACTTAGTTAATATGGATAAATTTTAGTAAGTGTAATGTTCATTAAAACATCTATCTACAGAAGCTCTGTGTTGAAAGTGGCCCGATATGGTCATATATATCCTGGCTTCATTTTCTGACTTGTCCTTCCACATTTGTTTATTTATATTCTGACATGATTATGCCAGTAGTTCAAAAAGTTATTTCAAAAGATGACATTTTTTTCTCCTTAAGAATCAAAAGCCTACCTCGGAAGAGATCACTATGATTGCTGATCAGCTCAATATGGAAAAGGAGGTGATTCGTGTTTGGTTTTGTAACCGCCGACAGAAGGAAAAAAGAATCAACCCACCAAGCAGTGGTGGGACCAGCAGCTCACCTATCAAAGCAATTTTCCCCAGCCCAACCTCATTGGTAAGCATATAAAATAGGGGAGCACAAGCTCAATGGCTAGTTTTTAATTTTACAAATGACCTGTTTAATCAATTTATTTCATAACAGTTATGAATTTACTGTATATATTCACGTTGAATGAGTGTCAATAAAACTGTATTTTAGTTGTTACCAAGGTAATGAAATCTCATGTTATTGAACTAAAAACTTTCTGATCTGTCTTATTTTTTAAAGTGAAGAATTGTAATTCTTTCTTGTTTCATTGCATTTCCATTATACACTTTTCTGTTGTGGTTTATTAGGTTACTCTGTAACCATGGGAGTAAATTTGCTGTTGATTCCAGTTATCTGAGGAAATCTTTAGTTAGTTTTTATTCATGTTGAGGCCTAAAGCCCAATTTATTAAAACTGACACTTACATGATTAAGTGACAATAAATTCCCAGGTAACCTTCAGCTCTGAACTCCTATTAAGACAATCATCTCACTCTGAAACACCATGCAGCCCTTTTCGTGTGTAATCTCATTGAGTAACTTCTGCTGTTTGCATTAGAATATTATTCCTAGAAAGGGCATAGAGTAGTCATGTGACTCCTTTGATTTTTAGTACTGCCAACCAGAATTCAAAAGATGAGAAGATTGTTGAGTTTGCATTTCTGTTCCTTTTTGGTTAATTTGTTTTCATTTTATTTGAATATCATTCCACACTGGAAGGCTTTTAAAACTAAAGTCACCTTTAAAAGCACATATTAGTTTTAGTGAAATTTATGGCTGTTAAATGGTGGGTCTTTAATGATAAAGTTCATGAGATAGTTATGAAAAAGATAGTTATTAAATAATAATTTTGTATAGGTAACTTTTATGTTTTAGGTTTATTTGTACTAAATGGAAGACTATCTTGCAGAACTGTGGTAAAATTTTTTATTTCAAAGAGAAACTTAGTTTTTTAAAAAATTTGCTTCACATTCTTTTCATAATTTCATGTCATTAAAAACAAACACAAAGCAATTCTGCCCCTACAGAGGCAAAAATAAAGGAATACATCAACCCCAGATTCCCTGATCCTGTCAGATAGTTTTCTTTTTAGGTAAAGTTGATAATTAGTATATTTCTTACTGACTTAGAGTGTATCTGACTCAACAGTCAAATTTAGGAATGTTTCTTACTATTTATTTTTAAAACCTGGGCAAAGCTATTTGTGATACCAGTGAAAAATCATCTTCTAGTAGCAACTTTCCAACATAGGATGCCAAGTTTCTCAATTCCAAAATCAAAGAGGGATTATAAAATCATTTCCTCTTAGGCCCTTTTATTTTATTCTGTTGTACATTGAGTTTTTAAAAGTTGATAGGCAAAGTAAGTCCACAATATGGGTTGAAATTTTAAAGTTTTGTTTAAGGTGCTTTGTCCTCATTTTCATTTCTGACCTCTAGGTGGCAACCACACCAAGCCTTGTGACAAGCAGCGCAGCAACTACCCTCACGGTCAGCCCTGTCCTCCCTCTAACCAGTGCTGCCGTGACTAATCTCCCGGTTACAGGTAAGCAGTGAAGCAGCAGCGAGGCCACACCGCTGCTAGGTACACGGGAGACCCATGATAGGTTTCTGTGAGAATCTGCCATTAATTGCGGGATAAGGTATTACCTAAAGATATGGATTGCTTTAAAAAAAAAAAAAGTTATGAATGAAAACGTGAACTTTAAAAAAGATCAGGCATAATTTTGTCATAAAAAAAATACTTTCACTCAAGGATTTTCTTAACCTCTTTTGTTTTTTCCCACATTAGTTCATCTTCTACATTGCTCTCAGAGTTATCTTTCAAAAAACACCAATTTTTGGCCGGGCGCTGTGGCTCACACCTGTAATCCTAGCTCTTGGGAGGCCGAGGCGGGCGGATTGCTCAAGGTCAGGAGTTCAAAACCAGCCTGAGCAAGAGCGAGACCCCGTCTCTACTATAAATAGAAAGAAATTAATTGGCCAACTGATATATATATAAAAAATAAGCCGGGCATGGTGGCGCATACCTGTAGTCCCAGCTACTCGGGAGGCTGAGGCAGGAGGATCGCTTGAGCCCAGGAGTTTGAGGTTGCTGTGAGCTAGGCTAACGCCACGGCACTCACTCTAGCCTGGACAACAAAGTGAGACTCTGTCTCAAAAAAAAAAAAAAACACCAATTTTTTTTTCTAAGTAACTCCTTTCCTTAAAAATTTTCAATAGCTATGATTTTTTGCATTCAGAAAAATATTCAAATTCATCAGTTCATAGAAGGTTATTTCCAGTCTGGACCTCATCTTCCATGACTCTTTTACCTACCATACCCTGAACACACAGGAGGGCTCCATCCGTACCTTTGTAAATATCCCTACACCCTGAAGTGTTGTCCATCCTAGCCTGTAGTTCTTGATTGGTATTGATAAAACTGTTCCAGTTTATGTTAGTTTTTCTTGGAAATACTCTTTAACTTCCCCAGGAAACTATTTATTTCCACCTACCTGTGTCATAAATAATTGTTTTTATACATCTGTCTTTCCCAATAGACTTTGCACTTCTCAACAGATTTGAGTATTCTTTTTGACACCTCATTATAAAATAAATAATTTTTTTTCCTTTGACCTCCTTTAAATAGTAAATTTTCCAAATATGTTTAAAATGACTTAGCATTGCCATCAAATGTTTTTTGGTGATACTTAGTACGTAAGATGTGCATTTATGATATTTCATAATCAAGCTTACTGTAAGCTAGAGTCGAGGATTTTGATTTTTCCTTACTCATGTTTTAAGTTCATAATACCTCTTTTGCTCTATGAACTGTGATATAAAAGTTGAATAAATGGCTTTATATTGTATTACATTTCTCAGCATTAGAAAATCTCATAATTTTTATTTTAGACAGTATACTTCTTGACCTCTTTTGGGTGTTGGACCTCTTTGAGAATATGGAAGCTATATAGACTTTTCTTCTTACAAAGTAGACATACTCAGAATTTTTAGTAAAATTTAAGGATGTTTATAAATAACAACCCCCATCAGCCCTCCCACTGCCCCTAAGGTGTTTGTGGATACCTTGGGAGCCTGCAGATTCCAGTTTTAAGAACCTCTGTTCTAGAGTATAGCACTTCAGCTTAAAAAGCAAATTGTCAGTGATTGATTGGCTTTATGCTGGGCACCAGGAACATGAAGTTCCTGCCTCTGAGGAGCTTGTTGTCTAAACTGACTTCCAATAATCTGGTAAATTATGAGCTGGAACTTTACCTTCCCAACAAATTATAAGTCATGTTAGGTCTAAGATACCCATTTTTTTTGCAGAAAAATTTCTATTAGTTTAGACCTAAAGAACAAGTAGCTTTGCAGATTACTTAAAATATAGGGAAAATCAAATAGAAGGCAATTTTAAGGATACACACGTACCCAAAACTAGCTAAAAATTTGTATCAGTTTTTGATGAATCCAACTGACCAATCACATTTTCTTAAACTTAATTACTCAGCCCATTTCTGTGGATTTAATTATGACTATTTTCTGAAATCTTGGTAACTCTTCTTAGAATGAAATTTTTTTTTAATTATTAAGAAATTTAACCTTCTAGGAAATTCAAATAGGAAAAACACAGTCACATATATAATTTTTATTTTCTCTTGGAATCATATGTATATAGAATTTCTGAAGTATTTGTACAGTATAGCATTTGATTGCAGCCGTGTGATGTCCTCACAGAGGACCAGTTAGGCTGTGCCTGACTCACAAAACTATGAGATGATAAAATTGTGTTGTTTTAAGCCACTGAATTTGTGGTGCTTTATTACTCAGCAATAAAAAATGAATACAGTAATATTATGTTTGTATAAATATTATACAGAGCCAGCTCAAATGGTTGAATCTATAGGAAGAAAAATGTAATCTTATGGCACTTAAACATTACTGCTTGAAAGAGAAGATTATAAGAGCCAGTGTCAAGTAGATTTTCTTTTCTTCTTAGCACTTGCTCCAAATCTTACCCCAGGTTAATTTTTTTCCCACTTTGGACTGTGCCTTTCTTATATCGCTTCTTTTCTTCTGACGTTTCTATACTGCCTTTCTTTTTCTCTGTTGACAAAAGTAGCATATTCCTTTACTGCATTATTTATTAAAGACATCCAGCATCTTAATCATACCACTTATCTAATGGAATGTATTTTCTTCTTGAAGACCTTGGGATTCCTGTGGTTGCTTATTTTAATTTCTTTTTGTTGTATTTGTGAGTTAGATCCAATGTTTCTTAGATTCCATGTCTTCCTCTATCCTTGATTCCTTGTTGTTTGTCTGGAACACATTCTCAAGTAATTTTTTTCTTTATTTGGAAAGGCTACATGGAAGGTAAAATTTCCAAGTACTAGTTTGTTCAGTAATAGAATTCTAGGTGCAAAATTACTTTTTCTTTGAACTTTGAAAGTATTCCTTTGTTGTGTTTTAGCATCTAGTAATGCTAATGAAAGGTCTGGTTTCAGTCTCTTTTCTTGATTGTTTTTTCTCTCTGTAAACTTTAAGGATCTTTTTATCCTTAATGTTCTGAAATTTCACTAGGAGGTTGCAAGGATTGGGCCTTTTAAAATTTGTCCTCCATAATGAACACTGGAGACTCTGGAAGTGAGGTGTGGGTTGAAAAATTACCTACTGGATAAAAAGTATACACTATCCAGGTGACGAGTACACCAAAAGCGTAGACTTCTCCACTATATTAATACCATTCATCCATGTAAGAAAAAAACATTTGTACCCCCTAAATCTATTTCTTTTTTTAATTGTTAAGCATTAAAAAGAAAATTGTCCTCATTGGTCTTCAGAGAGTATTTTTCAATCTGAAGTAATGTTTTTCTTCAACTGTGATAATTTGTCTTTGTTTTTGTAAACTGTTGTTTTCTAGCATTGGCTCTATTTATTCATTTTGTGCCATTTGTTTTGTATTGTTGGGTTTTTCATTGGCTGGTGAGTTTTGGTTATTCATACTGATGAATGTAAGACTGTATTACTTAATGTCAATAGATTGTAAGGGATTTCTTTGCCATTGTGTACCTTCCGTAACTCAACAGTCCCCTTCTCTGAATGGAGGGCTAGCAGTGGGCTGTGACTGTTGGAGAGAGAACTGCCAAACTATTTCAAGGTATACGAGTAGGAGGCAAGCAAGACTTTACCCTCACACTTTCTCAAAATGAGGAGGATCTCTGCTCGTGCATTCCAGTGCCTACACTAGAATTCGTAGCCTTCCACAGTCAGACTTTTATTTTCTTTGAAGAGCAGTAGGTAACATTGGTTCTGCTCATACGAGAAGTCTGGTGCAGAAAGGGAAAGGCACACTAGCAGAGTTACTATCTGAACAGACTTTTAATCACCCTATTCTTGACCCTATCTCCTACACCTATGTTAGTTTCTGACAACTCTGAGCTTGGACTCTCCTCAGGGCTCCATCAAGAGTGAATAATTTCCACCTCTGTTATAGCCTTATGCCCTTCTGGACTGTAGCCGGTGTCTCTACCATCTGAATTCATCCTTTTTCTCACTTCTGCAAATCTGTATAAATCTTAAGCCCTTTGATATCTGTCACCAGAGCTCTTATTCCCTTTTTATATTTCTTTGGTATCATTTGGAATAGGATTTTAGAAACAAAGGGAAAAATCATATCCTCAGCGCATTATCTTCTGAGAAAAATCTTGTTTGATTGATCTGGTCATCTTTATTTTCCCATAGTGCATGGTACATAATAAGATGCTTGGTGAACATTTCTAGAATAAATGCAAGAATGATTATGACTGTGATTTCTCCTCCAGAAAGATAAGTGTTCTGATGTGTCTCAAAAACTTGCAAAAAATTCCACAGCCTTAAACATCTCAACTAAACGTGCTCAGACCCCAATTGTTTTTCCAAGATATGTTTCATAATGGCAAAAGAGTTGATTTCTCAGGAAGATACAGCAATTATAATTATATAGCTATCAAACAACAGAGGCCCAAGATACAGGAAACAAAAATGAACAAAGTTTAAAGGAGATATAGACAATTCAACAATAATAGTTGGAGACATTTGATTAATTTGAACTAAGTAAAAAACAAAATTCAAGAATATGTAAGATTTGACCAATGTTGGCCAACTTGTCCTAACTGCCATCTGAAGAACACTTAATCCGACAACAGCAGAAAACACATTCTTTTTCAAATACACATAGAACATCCATCCCCTAAGATGTTTTTACCCATGAAACAAGTCTTAGTAAATTTAAAAGAATTAAAATTGTACAAAGCATGTTGCCTGATGACAACTAAGATAAATTAGAAATCAACAAAGAAATCTGAGCTGGGTGGTAGCTCACACCTGTAATCCTAGCACTCTGGGAGGCCAAGGCGAGTGGATCATTTGAGCTCAGGAATTCGAGACCAGCCTGAGCAAGAGCGAGACCCTGTCTCTACCAAAAATAAAAAAGATTAGCCAGGCATGGTGGCGCATGCCTGTAGTCCCAGCTACTCGGGAGACTGAGGCAGAAGGATTGCTTGAGCCCAGAGTTTGAGGTTG